TTTGCCATGGAGATACTCAGGCGTGTGTGCACACATGCGCACACAGAGTACAGTCCCAGACTCAAAGACATCCGCACACGCATACTCACAGAATCTACACCATCCATACGTGCACATGCGCACCTGTACACAGGATACTTGGGTCCACACACCCAAGAGCCACGCACACACTTCTGGCCCCCCACTTGCAAACACACAATCACCAACATCCACACGTGGCTTTCTGCTCACCAACAGGAACACACACTTGCAAGCTACTCTTTCTTGTTAGTTAGGGAATGTGTCTGGGGTCCGGCGGAACATTCAGGGGTGGGCACTGGGGCTGTGGAGAGGGTTGAGAGCCCAGCACAGCCCCTATAACCCTCACCCACACGAAGTTCAACATGGCTAATTGCACGAACACCTCATCCTCACGTAAGGAGCTGGTGTGACTGGCACAGCTGAAGAGAAGAATGGGCATAAATCACGCATCAAATGCTAGAGACCAGGGGCCGCCCACTCCTGGGACTTATTATCCCAGAACTGAAAAATAGAGCTAAAAACCCTTTCCACACGAAGAATCTGCAATCAAAGCACCTTGAACTACAGGGTGCAGAGGCCCAGCACTCAGCCAGGCAGCCCGGCACCTGGCTGGCATATTCCTCAGAGAGCCCTCCATTGACCGTTTCTCCATCAGGCTCCAATATTGCAGGGCTCCCTGTTTCCTTGCTAGCATTCACCATCATTTCTAATTCTATCCTTATTTCACTCACTTGTTTGAGGTCTGTCTCCCAACCCCTCCAGACGGTACGGTCTGCGAAAGCAGGGGTCAGTCACTGCTGTTTGCAGCACCTATAGCACACAATGCCTGGCGGTGCTCAAGAAATATGTCTTCCATTGATGGATGGATGGATGGATGGATGGGTGGATGGAAGGACAGCTGGAAGGACGGGTAAATGGATACCAAGAGCAGACAAAGACTCCGAGAGGGGAATGGGGCTTGTGGAGGAAGTAGCTGGTGAGTCAGCCCTCCCAAAATATCTGCCTTGTGGCACTCCTTTTACCCTTTGTACCCTCTGCCCTGAGGATCTGGTAGCAGTTAGGAGGGCTGTGGCTGCCTGGGCTGCCTCTCGGAGGACGTGAGATCCACATCAGATGTGTATGTGTCGGGGAGAGGGGTGTCCTGGGGAAGTTCATTTCTACCTGAGTCGGAAGGCACAGGCTTGGAGTAGAGGCGGACTGTGAATAATCTAAACACCTGTCAAGAGCTCCTAAAAAAACCACAAACTCTTCACTGCCCAGGGTATTTGAGGAGGTGGGCAGACAGTTGTCAGGAACTCCTCCTAACAGCCAAAGCCCCAGGTAACATCTTGCTCAACAGCACACATTCCACACCTCAGCCTCACCTGGATCAAGCTCTTTTTCCAACCACCCTGCTCCCCACCCTGCCTCGGCTCACGCTGTTCCCTCCTCTTAGAATACCCTTTCTAGTCTGCCTGTCAGCCTCCCCCCTACTCCCCAAAGCCCCACTCAAATGCTGCGTCCACCACGAGGCACCCCTTGTTGCCCCAGCCTCTGCCACTGGAGCACCTGCTAGCAGCAGTTATTCCATTTGGCCAGTTGTAGCCTGAGGCTGTACCTGCCTTCCCCCAGACTGAGCTTCTAGAAGGCAGAAATGGGTCTCACTCCTCTTTCTGCCACCCTCCCTACACCCAGCTGGGATACCTAGAGCAGGGTTTTTGCTAGGGTGAATTAAATTTAATGTGGCCCCTCTGCCTCCCCAGCACACAACACACACATACACACTGGCCTTCCCCCTCCCCTCCCCCCCCCCCCCCCCCCCCCAGGAGAAAGCAGAAGCCTGGACTCCCAGCTCAACCTGAGCCAAGGTGAGCAGCGGTCATGGCAGCCATCCTCCTGCCCGCAAGATGAGCAAACTCCAAATGTCCTCCTCTTGCTGGAGTTGCTGCCCTTCTGACCCAGCCCCTCCATAGGGGCACCTTCTCAGGCACCCCCAGACTCTTCTCCCTCCACAGAAGTGGGGAACCGAATTACCACCACCTCCCGCTGCCCACCTCTGCACATTGCCCCTGGCCCTGGTCCTCTTCCAAGCCACCAGCTCTGGCACAGATTGGGACCAAAAGAGGGAGGGAAGCGGTGCTGAGAACTCTGTGCCAACAGCAGATCCATCCCCTGCGGGAACAGAAGCTGGGGGTGGGGGAGCAGCTTGCCGGTTTCGGAGAAACCGGAGAAACCGAGGGGCCGGCAGCTCCCTCAGTCAGGCAGATGGGTCTTCTAGGAGACCAAGCCAAGCACTCCTTCCTTCCTCTCCTCTCCTGCCCCCCACCGCGGCCGCCCCCCCACTC